ATCCCAGAATCAATGTATGAGATGGGTGAAAGGGGGGCAAATCCCTTGAGGCTCCGTCCTGAAGGAACTGAAGTGGAAATTAGCGGGAGAACATTTTAAAACAAATTTGAGGAAAAACTTCTTTACACAGCGCGTAGTTAGAGTATGGAATAGTCTTCCTGCTAGTGTAGCGGAAACTAAAACCATGGGTTCCTTTAAATCAGAGCTAGATAAGATTTTAACCACTCTGAGCTATTAGTTAAGTTCTCCCCAAACTAGCTTGATGGGCCGAATGGCCTCCTCTCGTTTGTAAATTTCTTATGTTCTTATGTTCTTGGGGGTGGGGGGGGCAACAATAGAGGAATATTTCGTGCAATGACAGCTTGGCCTGCTGGTGCAGGGACTGCACTGTGCTCTATACACCACATGCAGCATAGCGAAGGCCCCACCAGCTGTTGAATAGGCCATGACAGTGGTGAGCTCCTTAACAGGGGAATTCTGCGGCGTGCCGGGATTATACAGCAGAGTGGGACTCCCACACAATACCGGGATTAAACCTTGCAGTGGGATTGCACTGAATTTTGGGATTCAACAGAATGGGGATTCCACAGCAAAGTAAAATCCCTACTGAATGATCACAAGGACAAGATCTTTTTAATAGGATACAAAATCTAAATACGCTAAACTCCGCTAAATGATCCCAGAGCCCTTATGCTGGTGAGCCAGACAGTTTACAGTTCAGACCAATTAGCTGCCTAATAGAATTAGCTGGATAATAGCGATCTTCACACCTAGATCTCCTGCATCACTTTAAAGCCAACACTCATCAACGCAAGGCACAAATCACACTGTTTCTGAGAAGACCGGCCCGGCCCCAAGGTCTCTGCCTTTGGGAGGAATCTCTGAGCTGCATTCCAGCCCCGAGGCTCCTTTGTGCCCCGAGCCGTGGGCCCTGTCATCCCAGAAGCCCGGTCCTACCTGCACTCCTGTGAAGATGACAGGTACGCATCACACATCTCCGGGGTCAGCGTGTCAGCAAGGTCACGGCGAAGCAGCGGCGAGCTTCACGCTCTCATGGTGCCTGTTGAGCTGTAAGCGCCGCCGGTGGCTCCGTTCATTCACACAGCAGGGGGCTACTCTAGGATTTTCTATGCTGGGGGCATAAGAGGGACAATAATTCATACAGCGGGCCCCCCCTTGTCATTAACCAATGACAGATGTGGATAGTTCAGGTCCAGAAAGTAAAAATCCAGAGATTTCGTTTCAACCAACCAGCTGAGTATAAAGAGTCACAGTCACAACTGGTTTAGTCCTGAACTGGTTGGTTGAAACGAAATCTTGGCCAATGATATGTCTCAGCTGGGGCCAGAGCCTCTGTGGCTCCGCCCCTGTATATGTCCCTGTTCCCCAAGGTGTCACATCAAACCGCGAAGACCGACACTGCATGGCATCCCAGTGCCATCCCAACGGCAACCAAAACACTCTGCCTTAGTGCATGCTGGGAATGGGGAGGCGTGACCATCATACGGCAACAGCAGAGTCAGGGTGCTGAAACGGGAACAAGTTTGCCTGAGGAGAGCCAAGAGGAGATTGGATCGCTGTGAAAGGGTGAGACGCCCACCCCCTGCCTGAAACACCCGCTCTGAGTGGATAACGATGCCCAGCTCCTCTGTTCTGGTGTGGAAGTGTCAGGCAGCCTAACCTGGGATGACGGCTTCCACTCCGCCTCCGTCTGTCAGGACCGTGACCTTGCTGGCTGTCCATGCTGCCCGGTGGAATTCATTAATAGCCGCAACACGACAGGAACTGGGCAGCTTGCCTCCATTCCGATTTCCTGCCAGATACAATTGAAAAATAAAAAAATCATGTTCACCATTGTTTAACTAAACACACCGGCAGCCTACCTGCGGGCATTAGAAAAATCCCGATAGCTTACCCCCAGGATCTAAACAAACAGGGGGCCCCTCCGCATCACTGTCCTGACCCCAAAGATCTATCGCGAGGCCTTTGCTAACCCCTCCCTCACTGCCTCCACTGCTCCCAGCTCGCTCTGCTGATCACTAAACTGGAGATACAGTACACCCTGATAACACCTCCACAGCGGCAGAGTCCGACTTTCAAAATACGGCAGTGATTTAATAACCGATTTCAAATATCATTATAGTCCATTAGGGCTGATGTTTGTCAAACGGCTGCTGCCCGTTGAAGAGAGAGAGAGCGTTCTGCACATAATTACTGAATATGATCATATTTTCCATTTATAATAATGATATGTGTTGCCCGATCTTATCATCTCAAATAATAAATAATATGTATTTTTTTGCACAAAACTATTTTTGCTCATTTGCAAAATAATGCTTATCTTTAGCAGTTTATTTTTGTACAGCATGGATGTTCATCGCTTTCTAACAAAATCAGAATGTAAACCAATCCTTGTACAGCCAGGTTAACAGTTCTGAAAACAAAGATTCAAGATACAAATCTTTATTGTAATCGCACATGACGGCACAATGGAATCGGGAAGGCAGCGGCAAACTGAAATGTGAGCAAAGCCGGGATGGCGTCAATTTCACCGGTTACAGCTGGAGTTGGCCGGAGTGTGGATTTGAAATGTGTGAGACTGGCTGTATTTACAGGAAAAGGCTTTAAAACATGTGAACAGTGGAATATGCAAAGTGCAGAGTGCCGGGCAGCTCCACAGACAGTGGAGTGTACAGAGTGACCTGATGCACTCTACAGCCAATGAGTCACTTCCATAAAGGATGGAGTGACCGGGCGGGGGACAGATGTTCACTTGCCCTGCAGTCCTTCATACCTCCTAAAATACCCTCAGACATTTAAAGGATGCTTTAATCCCAGCTGGTTAATGAATCACACAGCACCCCGCGTCTCCACCGTGACCGGCAGCTCCGCACACCTTCTGCCGTCAGCCCTCAGAGATCTTGCTCGCCCGTAGAACAACCGTGGTCGTGCCGCAAGCTGCACCGAAGCTCTCACATGTTTGTCACCAATGTGTGTTTCCGCGTCTCGTCTCGTGAGATGCTGCATGCGTCGATAGGGACTGACACAGCGTGATGAAATGGGAGTTGAGGGCCTGTAACTGGAAGACACAGAATACAAATAAAACCAGTCAGTTGTTTAGAGAAGCCATAAACGATCCTGGGTTACTGGTCATTAAAGTCCCCGGTTTGCGCATCACCTCCTTCTTAACTGGAGTGTTAACAGGGATGAGATACGACAGGATACCGGCGGCAGATCAGAGAGAACCTTCCCCCGAAAATGAGATCAGCTCATAATTGGCTCAGAGACCCAGAGTGAATCCTGTTTTAAATCCAGTTCCGAACATTTCAATGGAACTCAAGGATTTGCAGATGATGCTTAAGAATCCATCAAAAACGAGCCCGAAGGTGGGACTTGAAGTTCTCTAGCCGCTGCAAACTCCTGCTTTCGCTCTATGCAAACCTGTGGCCTGGTTCTGCCCAGTAGGAGCCTGGAAGGGCCCAAGGCCATGCTGTTAAAGAAAGGAAGCAAGTTTCACGCAAGAATGACTTCATAGCTTTGCCTAATTAGGACTTGGACTCTTTGGGAGCTACTGATAGGGCCGCATGTAGGTTCTGGTACCTGGGATTCGGGATGTGAACACGGCTCGCTCACACTGAGCGTGGCTCATGTCGAGTATAGCTCACACTGAGTGTGACTCACGCCAAGCACACGTGCCATGTGGTCCAACACAACAGACGGCACAAGTCCTGCTGTTATCACGCAAACCATTAAACCGAAAATGAAAATAAATAAATAAGCCCTCTGAGTCTGGGTGGAGTGCACAGATCTTACAGAGCTTCAGCGAGAGAGGCTGCCTTTCCCAGGAGATGTGTCAGATCGGATCGCCGCAGCAGACCAGCTCGATTATGAGCAAGAGTTTGCCAAAGCACAAGGCTCCTGTTAGGTTTATCTCCCGGGGATAATATGAAGGGCTTCTCAAGGTCAGGAGGATTAGAGGAAGTGAAACAATGAGAGTTAAGAAGGGGGGAGTGGATGAGCAGTTGAAGTTTACAGACTGAAATCAGCTAAGCGTTGAAATGGCTCCCTCTCTAATACAGATGACTGCTAGGGGAGGGTCATCTGGCTTCAGATCTGAACACCGCACCTCTCACGTTGTGACAGAGAGAGAGAGTGGTGGAGCAGAAAGAGAGAGAGAGAGAGGGCAGAGAGAGAGAGAGAGAGAGGGGGCAGAGAGAGAGAGAGCAGTGGGGCAGAGAGAGCGAGTGGTCGGGTACCAGAGGCCCGTGGAGAATCCCATCTCTTTGCTGTCGCTCGCAGCGAGAGGCTTCATGCCCTCAGATGATGCTCTTACCTGGTCCATAAATAGCACCCCCCCCAGACACGTTACTTCCAGAGAAGGGGTCACCGCTACAGCATGAAGGCCAGCAGCAGGAAGACACACTAACAATTCAGAGATGACTCTTATAATAATAATAACAATAATAATAATAATTTTAATTATCATTACTGTGCAGCAAAAACACTCTGAGTGCAGAAAGAAGTCAGACTGCAGAAAGAAGTCAGACCCAGTTTAAAAAAAAAAAAAAAGGTCAACTGGCTGCCTCAACGCCCCCCTGCCCCCGCCCCCCCAGGCATAATAACACTGCACGAGTAAGAACAAGAATATTCATGTTAGCAGGGGAATGAGTTTTCTGGTCAGCAGTCAGTAAAGACAGCCTGCGGTGACCAGCCCCCCCACCTGCAGCATCGCCAGATCTGTGCTGTGAGACCAGGCAGCCTGTGCCCCCCCCCCTCACCCCTCAGCACTGTAACTGCATTAAAATGAATGGGAGACGCAATAATGGCCGGACCGTGTGGCATCTGTGGAAGCAGGGCGGCTCCTGAACTAAGCGGCTGTAAATGATGGCTTCCCCGTGCCTGACCGCCCCGCCCTTGGCTGGGGAGGGAAGGGCACAGGTCACTGGGAAATGCCCGCCCGCCCCCCCCACCCCTCCGACACGCTTTGGCCATAAGTCACCCGGTAGTCGAGCGCCTATCAGTAGCAAGCAGCTGTTCATTCGTCAAGAAGCCGGCTCTGACCTTGAAGCCCAGATGCACGCATTTCAGGTATGATGCCCCCAACCTCACCTCTTTATTCTCTGTTTTTATTATTATTGTTTAAGGTAGCTTAGAATATTCCCCTTCATACAGCCATACAGACCAGCTGCAGTGCTGTGTTCGAGGGTGGAACAGGAGGCCTGATCCAGGTAGGTCTCGGCATATGGCTTCACTGGGGAACGTTCAGGTTAGAGGAACAGCAGGAGAAGGTGGTTTGACTCACAGACATCAGGAAGCCGTCCCCAAACCGTTCGTTAGTTTCAGGCTCATGTAGGCATCGAACAAACAAACAAACTGGCCCCTTTTTCACGGGGATTTAGAGATTAAGAAACGCGGCAATGAAGTGGAACCATAATCACTCCGCATGAAAGACTCCGGGGTGGATTCCAGTGAGAGAACCCCAGGGCGCGTTCATCCTTATAGGCGACGTGATCTCTGTCGGAACCCCGCTAACAGTCCGGGACAAACCAGCATCCTGAGGGCACAGTCAGCTACGACGCGCCTTGTGTCCCCAGCAAGTGCGACAATGCTTCTCTAGGGGGGGCTAGAGACCTTGACTGGGGGTCTTTATCTTGAATTTATATTCTTTTTTTGGCTATCGTGTCCAAATGAGAACAAGCTCTACAGCTGATTGGCTACTTGTATCAACATCCCTCTGGGAAGCAGATTCTCACTGACGTTTCTGACATGGCTGTCGCACCCAGACCCAGCAGCTCTGAGTAAAATCTCTCCGCTTACACGACCACCTCCTCCCCGAGAATCTGATACCCGCCTCGTTCGTCACACGTCTAAACTGGGAGCCCAGCTGTCAGGGTGATTCTTCCTGTTTACCGTCTCCGTCAAAGAGCTCCTCCTCCTCCTCCTCCTCCTCCTCCTCCCCGGCACCAAGCCCCCAAGCCAAACGGTGGGCGTCTGTTTACTGCCCTCCCACGACCTCGCGCGCCGAGACCCCGTGAAACGGGCTTCTTGGGCGACAGAAGAAAAGGAGCCGAGACAGGTGTGACTCCCCCTGGTGGAGCGGCACGGCGTGGCGAGGAGGCGCCGGTCCGTCCGCGTAGGTGGCGGCTGCCGCTCCATTAGCGGCGGAGCCCAGTGCCGCTGTGACCTTCCTCACTCCTGCCAGTGTCTTAATGAATATTGCATGAACCCAAATGCAGCGTGGAAGCAGAGTACTGTAGGCCCATTAATGAAGCTGGGGGGGAGGGGGGGGGGGCACTTCCAGCATGTTCAAAATGGCTTTTATCGTTTTTCCCCTACAAGGAAAGATCTCTAGAAAATCTATCCAGCAAAGCACTGTAAAACGGTAAAAGAACACTGGGTCGTCCATGGGGGAGACAGCAGGGTAAGTAACACAATTTAAAAAATAAAAGTAATTTTAAAAAGTGCATTAGCCTTCCAGCTGCATGCGACTGCAGTGGCTGCATCTAATTGCGAGTGAAGGTATCGGCAGACGCACACAGACACAAACCAACCACGAGAAGAGCGCAGTGACGCCACGCTGCAAAGCTCGACATGAAGCAGGGCTTGAGTACATTTGTTTGGATTGTGCAAATGCAGCAGTTTCCATGGTAGCTAACTGGAAGTACACGGCGCTGAATTGTGCCACTGGTACTGTCAACTGGCGGCCAAACAAAAGGATAATATGTCTGCCGACGAGATTCGTCGCTGGATGGGCGAAAGCGGCCTTGGCAGATGGGGAGCCCTTGTGTCTCGACTGCCCTCACGCGAGAATCACGCCTCGCTGAATGCGTACGCAGAAGCCATGTCTGTTCTTTATTTGTGGGGCTTCCATATCACCAAAGCACATATCGGCCACAAAGGAGGAGAAAATGCTGCTTTTCTGAGCTGCAGTTCACATGCAGGTCATTGGAAATGTGTGTTTAATATATTTTGTTTCAGGGCAGCCGTGGCGGAGATCTGACCGAAGAGACAGTGTGACAATCGTTACTGGTAGCCAGGGTGGGGTGGGGCTGTGAGCTCACGGGCGTCAGGGGCTGCGCACTGCATGTTTGGCTTGTGTTGACCCGCACACTCACTGTACAGTGATTTATTTCTTCTCCTCAGAGGACAATGATCACGATCAGCGTCTTCTGGCAGCTCAGCTCACATCTGATACAGAAGGCAGACAGCGGGGTGAGTTTGCGCACCTTGGAAACGTGTAGCCTGTTTGGATCTGTCTGGTGGGGGGGAGGGGGGGGGGAATTATATGCAATGGCAATAAACCCCATCCATGAAGAGGGGGCATTCTGAGGGGGCAAATCAGAACACATGGAATTTTGTCCCCCCCCCCCCTTCCTGCTTCCTGGTTTTCCTGCTTCTCGGGGGGGGGGGGGCTCTTGTTGGAGACACGCTCCCAAGGTGCCAGCCCCCACAGGGAGTGTTCAGCTTACAGTGCTCATCGGATTTACGGCCTGCAACGTCCCTAATTTACCATCAGACTGAGAGCAGCCCCCCGTCTCCAACCCCCTCCCATGTAACCTCAGAGCAGTTAGCCGCCTGTCACCCAGACTCATATAGATACAGACATATTGGTCTGGTCACAGAGGGCAGCAGTAACTGTGTAACTAAACATCTCAGCCATCCTATAAAACTCACTCTAACAACAAGCTACATAATCAGCATCATTCTTCCTCTTATTATTATGGGATGTTACTCCGCTTCCTGGCTCTCCTCTGGTAAACAGAGAGCAGGTCCGGGCCGATCTGTTCATTAGTCATGGGTTACGAGCTGTAACGCTGACACGCGCGGCTCTGTGCTGCGCGACTCTCATGGGGAAAGGCCTTTGCTGAGCGGCAGGCCGCCAACGTGACCGCTGGGGAAGTGCTTTGGCTTTTGGTAAATACCGTGCTCGACCCGCAGTGCCAGGGCTTGCAGGGTGACCCAGACTTCCGACCCCGTGGTTGCACTACTGAGGCAGCATAACCCCCTAACCCCCTCGACCCTAACCATAACTGTAACACCCCCCCACCCCCGTCCCCCTCAAGAAAAACAGATCGGCAGTGGAGAGACAATGCAGATCGGTGTGTTTCTTAGAGACAATGCGATGTGTATTTAATGATCAGGAACCAATTTCTACAGAAGTAACACAGGCAGCGCAGTCTGACTGAGGAATATAAGTGGCCTTTTTCCTTACGGTGCACGAAAACATGAAAAACATTCAGAAATCAACTGGGTGATCTACAGACAGAAGGTTTAACTGTCAATTAACATCAAGCAGCTGGGATGTGGTGAAATATCATTTGATACACAAATAAATGGAAAAAAAAAAAACAAAATTAATCCATGTGGAAAAAAAAATTAAATCTACCTTTACGGAACAAGATGGGAGGAACCTTGAACTGTTTGCCTATGAATCATAACTCAAAGCATGGACACAGACAGGCGGACTCTTATGTAAGTCAGCCAACATCCTGTTTAGACCGTGGTGTTTATTTACAATGACATCATTCAACACAGCATAGCATAGTGTCGCATAGCACGGATAGATACAGATAGATAGATAGACAGACAGACAGACAGACAGACAGACAGACAGACAGACAGACAGATATATAGATAGATAGATAGATAGATAGATAGATAGATAGATAGATAGGCTTACCCAAGTTGCCCATTGATTATTCAGTCACTGAATTAATTTCGAACAATGTGTGGCCAAATTACAATGTTCTTATGTTCTTATGTAATGACCCTACGTGACAAGAGACAGGTGGCGTAACCTTGGAAGCCCAATCACGGGATTTGAAAGTGGGTGGAGGCTTGGAAAGAGATTTCAGGACTTGGAGGGGGAGTGAAGCGGGACGCCCAGGACCCGCCGGTGTGGCGGCTGGCAGGACGGATCAAGGTCCCGGCTGCTGAATAGGACGGGCACCAGCATATGGTGAGGTCACGGCGGCACCGCGCACGGCCCCGATCGGGCTGAGGTGGCAGGACGGGAAGTGGCAGGACGGTGTGCGGATGAAGGACACGCCCGCCGTTAGTTAGGGAGAGAGAAGCGCGTTCGCTGACGCACAGCGGTGAGCTGGCAGACGTCGGCCCCCCGCTCTCGGGGTGTGAGCTGACCGTCAAGGTCGCGGTCAGCAGTAGAAGCATCCTTCCCCCCGCAGCTTACGCTACCAGCAGGTAAAAGTCTGCCGTATGCCCCCCCCCCCTCTTCGGCGGTCAGGGGCAGATGGGACCCAGCTGTCCTCCAGCCAACGGAGCCCAGTCTGTTCGCACATTCGGAGCTCCTCCCCCCCGTCCGCGTGCCAGCTCTTTTCGGCGGTGGTGACAAATAAATAAATAAATAAAATAAATAAGGAGATAAATAAATAACTAATCCCGACCAGCTGGAGCTGGGGGGTTGGGTTCTGCTGGGTTTCTGGGAACCCACCAAACAGGGACGAGGCAGGGGGAGATGATTAATCGCCGGGTGCTTCCCCACGCAGCGAGCCGCACGCTGGGTCTGTCATAACACCTCAGCCAGTCCATTCATCACCCCCCTCCACCCACGCTTCTGATCACGCTATCACACACACTTTCAGTCCAGCCATAACTAATGTTTAAAAACGAGATAAATAATAGAGGAATAAACTGCAGAGTTTAGGTGGGGTCAGATGCCCCCCCCCCCCACCATAGGGGCAGGGTAACCGGAAGGGCTTTAAGGACCCAAAAGCTGCTGAGATCAGTGAATGCGATCAGGGGCCCGCGGCCAGTGGGGGGCGCCAGTGGTCATCTTCCTGTCTGTTGTCCTGAAAATGAGGTTTCCGCTTTGCACGTTTTGCACAATTGCTGGTGAACTCGTACTTTTTGCCACCCCTCTGAGTTCCACTGGGTCTCCTGCCCTCTGGGATGGCCGAGGAAAGGTCCTGCCCCACTCGCTCAGCAGCCGTCCTCAGATGAGTCATACTGTCTCCGCTCTCTGCCTGACTTTCCACTCCGTGTCCATGCTCAGCGAGACCGCCCAGGCCTGCTGGACAGAGAGGATTATTCCTGGCTCGGATAGAGAGGCGTGTCCAGCCCAGCAGACCTGCTGGGAGGGAACGAGCTGACAAACAACCTGCAGCCTTCTCAGTGCTTCTCTCACGGCTCTTGTTCACGTTTCAGAAACACGCCTATTACACGCATGCAGCGCACGCCGGGTCCTTCACAGGCCGCGTGCCACTCCATGTAGAGCTGCCCTCTCTAATTCCTCCTCCTGTAGCTGCCCCCCTGCCTCCCCGGCTTCCGGTGCCAAAGAAAGGGCCCCCTTGTTGGGCTGGAGCACTGTGCCCGTGGACCAGGCGGCCTGATGGGATTTCGGTGATTCAGCTACTGTGACGAGGCCTTCTGCCACACCGGAGAGGAAATGAGCTTCACGTTCCCACCACCGGAGAGGAAGCCTGATGTCTCAGCTCCACCTTCCGCCTCAGCCGCACGCAAAAAGGCCAGGAGCAGGCAGGACCCGGACCAGAACGAGCTCTCTGGCCCGCACTCTGACCCTGGCAAGGCCTTCTGTCTCCCAGTACCCTGCGGAGAGCATCCCAGTAGCGGCGTGGCAGAAACTGATAGCTCCGCTTGGTGGTTCTGGCGGGCGGTGACCTCCTTCATCTGGGCCGCTTCACTGCCGGCTTAATGGACCGTCTCAGTGCCCGTGGCGCCGGTGTTCCCCGGCGACCGAGCCAGGCCAGCAGGGCCGGTTCTTGTGCTGAATGTAACAGCCTTGACTAACACGGCCCCTCGGCACAGAACCATTATCCATACTCCTGCATTTTTTTATGGTGAGGGGCATAATAGGGACCATAATTCATACAGAGTGGGTCAACCATATCATTAGCCAATGATACGTTTTGAATCAATGAGTGACAGGGGAAGGGGCATGACACAGCCAATCAGCTTTCGGCTGGGACCAGTGCCCCTGAATACACCTCTGATGTGAGGACGATCTGTTACGACGCAGGGCCCGTTCGGACCCCTACGGCGTTCGAGAGTTTTGGGTTGCCCCGACCCACCGATGTGCGCTCTCTACCCATTAGCGTGGCAGAGCCACATGCAGACGGCCCCTAACATCTCCCAGCTGTTCCTGACCTGGCCTGCGTACAGCTGGCCACGCACCAGCCGTCTGTCGAAAGGCTCGTTAAAATGTTTGCCCGCAAAAGCAGCACAAACAAGACGCTGCCGGCCGGCCCTCAGAGGGCTTCTGAGGGCTTTTTATGCTGGCTCCTCTCGCAGCTCAGCCAAAAATAACGCCAGCGGCCCAGGAGCAGCACTGGAAACGGCGCGATTAGCGTGAGAGAGAGAGAGGTTTACGGCAAAGAGCTTGGCTAAATTAAAACTCGCCAGAACGCCAGCCGAATGGCGCGATTTACAGTGTAGGCGCCCTTTTCCCAGGCGAGTCCTCCTCTCTCTGAACCGCGATGCATCTCCCCCTGGATTTCTACGGCCTTCTGCTGCAACGGGCACCAGCAACCCAAGCTTGACTTCATTAACAGCCCCAAGCCCTGAGATAATTTGCTTTTTGGGTTCAAATGGACCTTTGGGCAGCTAACCTATAACTGAACTGTAAGTTCAACAGTCGGTATTTTTAGTAAGTAAAGCAGAACAGGCCAACTGTCTAAAACACCTGAAAATGATACCACCTGAAAATGACGCCGGAATCTTCCTGTAAATTTCTTCTGGTATTTCTCTACCCAGGTCTGTAAAATAAAGTGATTATTTGTTGTTTCTTTATTCTTAAGCTGTGACAAACCAAATCTGTATCTACCTATAAAAACCACACTTAGATTAGACGTAGATATATTTAGGAACCTACCTGCTTGTACATCAGGCCATGAAAATCTGTCTTATGTGCTTAATTAGCAACTATTGGTAAGTAATCTTGCCAGATGTGAACTTCTTTGCTGTACAGTTCTCCTGCTTCTTGGTCACCAGGGGAGAGCTTAGCCTTCCCTGCACAGAATGGATGTCTATACTTTACCCTTAGCAGGTGTCTGACATCAGCTATTATATCTGCACAAGTTCCCTGGAGGACGACGGCTGTTCTGACTGCTGCCGGGAAAACTAGGGCAAACGCCGAGGACGACACAGGCTGGGAGACCCCAAAGTGCGAGCCGCACTAGCGGAAACGCCGAGGACGACACAGGCTGGGAGACCCCAAAGTGTGAGCCGCACGCCCACCCACAGGGAGCCACGGGACCCTTGGCTTTGCCTGTTTCTTTCGGGATGCGGCCTATGCTAAAACATTAGCCACAGAGGGTCAGTGACTAAACGTAGCTGCTCTGCCTGTCCCTGCCAAGAGTTTCTTTTTGTAATGATGAAAGTGAGAGAACTTCCAGGGGAGGGTTACGGAGGAACCCAGAAAACCGAGAACAACACCCCCCCCCATTGTTGTTCTGTGTCCAGAGCAGAGATTCCCCCCAGCATGCACCTCCCTGCTCTAATGAGGTCAGCAGCGGACGTTTCCACGGCGTTCTCAGGTTAACATCCTCTTCCCCGGCAGTCGTCTCTCCCTCTGCTGGCTGTGGTGTTTAAAACGATGTCCCCCAGCTGGGTTGATTAATGTTCAGGCCTCTGGTCCTCCNGCTGGGTTGATTAATGTTCAGGCCTCTGGTCCTCCCCCCCCCCCCACCCCCCCCCACAGTCCCTGGCTGCTGATTTTCAATAGATCACAAACGGGCAAACAGACTAAGAAACCTTCACCTTGCCATACAAAGCATTTATTATCAACCACTGTCATTTATTCCACAGTCAATGTGGCTTTTTATGCCATTAAAGTACATCATCTCTGTCGCTGAATGTCTCCTTTCACTAAGAAATTCTTACATCCTTGTCTTAAAAATATACATGTTATATCATTGCCAGAGTGCTGCATTTTCTTTTTATAATAAACAGCAATTTTGTAATTTAATTGTACCTTATAGATAGATTCATCTGGGCAATCCAGCCCCTTTGCTGATCGTTAGTTAGGTCGACATCGTGGGAACTCAGGTATGAATGAGCAACGATCAGACATGGGAGTCTGAGCTAAATATATATATTTAAAGCACACAGTACTCAGAGGGTCACCCGTCACGACTAAAATGAATCATGTCACATTGCTGGTCTAGGTTGTAGGTAAACTGTAATTTTTAAAAAATCAGTTAGTATATATTATATATATATATAATATATATCAATATATATTACTATCAGACAGTGCCAAAGTTTAACTTTGAGCTACGATAAGGAAGCAGGCTTAAACCAGGCTTGTTCATTAAAACTGAACAGAACAGTGTTATGTGACTTTTACATGCATGCTGTGTGGTTGTTTTACCACAGAAACCATTCTAACTCTGGAAGGAGGCTCGCTTGAATGAACCTTACTACAGTCGGAGGGGGACTGAGCAGAGAGAAGCCAAAACCAGAGGAAATTTCAAAGTGGCGGCCGAAGAAGGGGCCACGCGTAAGGGCAGGTCTGCTTTCATATTTACACAACAGCAGATTGGCAGTGATGGAATTCCATGAGGTCAATTACTGACTCAAATAACAGAACCGGTGTTACCTGTCTACAGTCGGTAAGAATTCACCATGAAGCAGAGCATCATCTGTGAGGTCATGACCTCGGTATTGGAGTAGTGGACGGCTGTCGACCTGCAGGTGTTACGACAAGCTGAAATGGTCATGCCAGTAATGGGGTTAGTGGTTGTCCGCCCAGGGGCATGTTCCCAGAGCGCCTACTGGCTGAGGACCGGTAATCCAGCAGCTGGGGGTCAAGGGGGTGACAAATGATGGGGTGGCTCATGCCCCATGGGCGGGGCATCCTCTCACCCACTATCTGTCACCATGGCAGTGGAGGAGAACTTCCTGTTTGGAGGTGACACATCCTGGCTTTACCGACGACCTCGTGCTCCATGAGTGGTGCAGACATGCAAACTTCTCTTTGTGACCTAAATCTACCAGAAATCTCTACCTGAGGAAACTCGACACTCATATCTGCATTTTAACAGTATGCAGTCATTTATCTATGGTTTGCTAACGTGCTCCTTTCCGTGAAGGTTAATCCTTACCAATCACAAAGTGCTAACTGAACAGTGCAAAATTTACTGGATTAAATTTCAGAGCAAATAGTAACAGAAGAAGTGAAGAAATATTGGTGGTATTTAAAAAAGGATAAGAAAACACTGGAGTGCACTGAGGATTTTAGTAAACAGCTAAAAAATAATGTAGGGCAAGGTTAATCAGAAGCAGCTAATTAATTATCCGCTCTCTACCTCCGCAGCCCAAAAGGCATCACTAAGTCCCGACGGACTTAGCCAAGCATGGAAACACTTTGCACATGTGAGAAAGACGCAGGCAGGCAGACAGGCAGAGCAGGCAGATGCAGGCAAAGCAGGCAGACAGGCAGAGCAGGCAGACAGGCAGAGCAGGCAGATGCAGGCAGAGCAGGCAAACAGGCAGAGCAGGCAGATGCAGGCAGAAGCAGGCAGATGCAGGCAGACAGGCAGATGCAGGCAGAGCAGGCAGATGCAGGGCTCCTGACCCCCTGCTCCTGCCCTTCCAGGCCATCTCTCTCCAACTGTTGGATTCTCAGACCCAACCTGCATGATACTCCATTAAGCACTCCAGAGCACGGCCCTTTACCAGAGCTGTACCAGCTACCTCGGACCCTGAGCACGACCCTTTACCAGAGCTGTACCAGCTACCTCGGACCCTGAGCACGGCCCTTTACCAGAGCTGTACCAGCTACCTCGGGCCCTGAGCACGACCCTTTGCCAGAGCTGTACTGGTTACCTCAGGTCCTGAGCACGGTTCATCACCAGAGCTGTACTGGTTACCTCAGGTCCTGAGCACGGTTCATCACCAGAGCTGTACTGGTTACCTCAGGCCCTGAGCACAGCCCTTTACCACTTCACAAGCCTTGTTTCCAATGTTACAGCTCACACCGGTTATTTGAGAAGATTGCTTTGAAACAAAAGCTTTGGGCTAGTGTGCTGCTCAGCCAGTTATGGATCTGTTCCCATGTCTACAAGGTACAAAGCCCACAGCCGACAGAGTAATCGTATCACCACTGAGTCCTTGAGGAAGGCGCTTAGCCCGCCACCCCAGGGACACCGGCTAACCAGGTGCTCTGACCACAAGCTCTCATCACTCACACCTCATACTGAACATCAGCTGAAGAAGCAGAAATGGAAAATAACATCCAGTGAACGATTAAAGTAAGAAGTTATTAAAAAAGTAAGAGTGTGATATAGTGACATAAAGCAGAACCAGAAAAAAGGGAAAAACTCCTTCAGTTTCTCCAAGATCGAGGCAAGATGAGACTTAGCACCCGGATCAAAAAAATTGACTTCTGCAGGATCTCCCAGTCGTCCCCTCTAATCAGAACCCCATACGTCTCGCCATCTTGAGATGAAATTTGAAAATTTTAACTGCTCTTTCTCCCGACCTCTGATAAAACATCACGTCTCTGTTCTGTCTCAAGTGACTCACTGAGACCCCATTACGACGGATCCTGCTTTCTCTGTCGTATATTTCTCCTAAAGATAGGGAGAAACAGCTTTTACGGTAAATAATCCAGATAACATCGGTACTTTCCTGAGTTAAAAATGAAATATCCCACAGTTCTCTGAAGAATTAAAAAGATGGCCTGCAGCTGTAAATCCTTCCTTTGGGGACTGGCTGCTCGATGAACCCCGTTCTCCTGGAGCCTGGGCACTGTAGGAGCTCAGCAGAGTAAAAACCTACTGCTCCATAATAAAAATCAGTGAAATCTAGTGTGTATCTCCCCTAACCTGTCACTACTCCTCTCCAGGGCGCATTGGAACAGGACTGATAGACAATCGCTATGCTATTCAGACAAAGAAGACTCTCACAATGGAGCTATTGAGTCAATGAAGGGGCGTTAGGGTCAAAGGTCACCGACCTTCACCCTGTCGTGTCTGAGCTGGCGTGCCGAGACCTTTCTTCCTTGCACAATCCATGGATGTGAAGATGCTGTGCATGCAAACCCTAGCAAAAAGAGAACCCCCTCCCCCTGCAAGGAAAAATGTCACACGGCTGGATGTGCATTCAGATTCTCACAGTGTATCACCCCATGCTGAAACACAATGTTAGATGTGATCGACCCGGGGAATCAAAACAGAGAGAGAAGAGAGAGGTAAAGAACGTTAATTACAGTGCGTTGCCACACCCACCACATGACAAACCACCTCAGGGATGAGAGCCTGAGTGCAGCCATGCAGCAGGTGATACCTCAGCACCGAATGGACCATCGTGAGTTTTTTTGAGTAGTTGGAGTGCCGATCCTGCCACCAACCTCCAAATTTTTCCTGAAACCTGGAGGACCTGCTTGCAGGGCTGGATGTAGATTAACGTCACACCCAGGATGGAGCAATTGCAAATTATGGGCCTTGCTCAAGGGCCCAAGGGAGTAGGATCTCTCCTGGCATTCACGGGATTCAAACCAGCAACCTTCCGATTGCTGGCACAGATCCCTCACCTCAGAGCCACCATTCCGCCCCCAAGTCTAATCTAATCTAAACACCTGAAAAAAATTATAAACAGACAGATAACCAAACAAATTGGAAAAATATAACGGACAGATTTCTTCAGAAGTGGAATTGGAGTGGGACCGACAGCAAAAGCATGAGCGGTCCTTCCTGTAGCCATCTGGGGGTGATTATGAGCTGCCGAAAAGCCCCTTCCCAGGGAAAAAGGCTGCTGCCGCAGTGAGGAGTCTCTGGGACCTGAAATGCTCACATGTACTCAGACGGGGGAAAACGGGGAAAAGAGATGTAGCTGCTGACGCCATAAGGCTGGCACCACCCCTAGGGTGTATTACAAACGACCTGGTTTTCATTAACTGCCCAAAGAGTGGTCATGAGCGCATTCACAACCTCTGCCCTCGTTTTACCCAGAAGGAGTAAGTGGTGCTGCGATACTGAGGGCCCTCAGCCCTGGCACTTGTTCTTCACTGTACTTTCATTTTGTACATGAAATAAAGCGCTGAGTAAAGGTCACGGTGTGTGCCACCAGGAGAGAAACAAAGACTATGGCAAAGGTCAGCAAATACCATCGCTGGGAGAGAGAGAGAGAGAAGCAGCGCCTTCTGGACCAGCCGCTGGGTGATCTGGGCCCCTCGCTGCGTCTGTTGGGCCCCGAGAAGCTCCGGCGTGCCGTCTGTGACGCTTGGAGGTCGCTAACCGTTGGGTGACGTCGCGTTCACCTCCCAGCACTGAGCCATGCTGAAAGTAAAGCAAATATTAGGGAGGCAAGGTCATGGACGGGGGCAAGGAGCCCACGAAGATAAGCTTCCTTCACTTTTATTTCTTGGTGTTGTTGTTTATTTGAAGACGTGAAGCAGCTGTTGTAGCATCTGGATGCTACAGAACCACAATTCTACAGCATGGCAGTCTGACTAATTGCCTCCGTAAACACAGGTGTTTGGAAAAAACAAAAAAAACTGCAAAGCCTCTCCATCATCCGAAATCCATCACGCCCAAGGGTCTTTCAGCTGCTCCTGAAAGAAAAAACAT